TACCACTTGAGCTATCATGACCTCGATCCACTCCTGTCAAATGTCGTGTAATCGGATTGAAAAATGGCAAAAAGGAGGGAAAATTCAAAAGGTGTGGTTGAGATGGGAAGTTGGTGTCCGAGTGGATCGAGGTCACGATAGCTCAAGTGGTAGTGCAGCGGGGTATCAAGCCGAAGATCGTGGGTTCGAATCCCGCTCGTGCCATTGACTTTTTTATCCCAACTAAAAACCTTAATTAATTATTAATAACCAATGTTGTTATCTCAGGTTATCAAATTTCTTATACTGTATTAATACTGATCACATTCACTTACCCAGCGCACTCGATATCCCTTCGGACTTCCGGACTCGGAACACCAATTCACGCTAATAAATTACTTACACTCTCACCCCAGAGTATTCGTTATTCCTCTGGGTAGGGGATAGAGAGTTCCCATGACGTTTTTTTCGTGCACACAGAACACAGAACACAACCGTTTACACATAAAAACTATGATAGTACTGAAGTAATGAAACGCTAATCGAAAGTGCAGTAAATCCTTCACAAACAGAATAAAAAAAACAACCACTTGTACATTTTACAAAAAGACAAAATAACACGCACAAGATGGGGGTATGCAAACGAAAGACAAAACTAGCAAAAACTTCTGAAAGATCATTAATTTCATTAGTATAAAATGAGCGTATAAATTATTTATGTTTGTGAAAAACTGCCCGTGTCTTGAAAGCACTTGCATATATTATTTACAAACCCTGAAAAAAGATCCATCTCTTCATGTGTTATACCCGGAATTCCTTTAATGTATTTCAACGCCCAAAAGTCAAAGAAAAAACCAAAAAGTGGAGAGACTTTCAAAGTTATCTCCCGTCATATAAAATTTATGTTCAAAGTTCAATAAACTATATGAACCTTTTTTTCATCGAATGTTATCTAGTTCGGCTAGTCAGGATTATTTATATATGAACCTCCTACAAATATTAAACAATAAAATAAGTTTCAATGTAAATATCAATAATATTATTTTCGATTTAAAGCTTTTTTACTTTTAGAAGAACTGCTTTTTCAAAAAATTAATATTATTTTATAAATAAAGAAATTAGTGAATAAGGCGCTTGTAACACTAAACCCGCACGACTTATCATCATTGAAGGTAGGGTATCGTACACCCCTTCGACCTTTTTAGGAATTGATTAAAAAAAAATTATACGTGATAAACTAAATGAATATACCAAATGAAGCAGTTAAAATTGGCATTACATTATACATTTACTAACTTTAAGGATTTGACTACAAGTTTTGTTAATTACCTAATGTCATTTATCTTGATAGTCGAACAGATACAAGAGTAACTGACAGACACTTGATTTCCACCACATTGCCTCTTAATCGAGTAAGCCACGATAACAAAATATTTAAAAGGTTTTCAACGAGACTAAAGCTAATTAATTTTAAAGTTAATTAAACTCAGAGTAACTTTTAACTTGAGTAAATTTGACTCTCTTAAAAAGAAGTGAAAAGTTAGCAAGTTTTTTTTTGCGCAAGTTTTTAAATTTCAATGTGCAATATAGTGATGGGATGTGCGAGTTCTGTGGATCGTCTGGGTGCGCCTAGACTCGCTGATTTGGTTACATTTTGCCATATTCAGTGGAACATCAGGAAAATAAACAGAGCGAGGACAAGACATTCTTCTGCACATCGCGTATAACTCAAGAAAAAATCGCGTAAATTGAATGAACCAACCGACAAAGCCTGCGACAAACAGGCTTATCAGGATGACCAAATGTACACAAATTATGAAAAATCCCAATACAACTTATCTAAGACCCGTTTTGGTTAGTTATACGAGTCACGTACGATTCCTGGCTTTTTTCACGACCCCCTCCCCTTACTCATACGCATAATAATCGTCTCCTTGGCTAACATGCATCGATCATTTTTTTAAGGCCATTAAAAAATTCTTACTTAATCTATTCTCGGTTTTTGTACGTCAAACACTAATTACTTTAATCAATTCGCCATTTTCAATGGTCGGCCAAGATTATTTTATTCGTATCCTCTCATAACTTTATTAACACATCCTAACAGAAATGCTAGTAAATCGAAAGTAAATCCTTTAAAGTTCAATAAAAAACCTGCCGAGGAATTATAATTATACGAACCTTTTTTTTCACCGGATGTTATATAGTTCGGCTAGTCATTTTTATTTATATATGAACAAATTGTCGTAATAATAATTAACAATAAAGTAAATTTCAAGGTAAATGTGAATAATCTACGCTGAGACTTTTTTCGATTCAAAGCCTTTTTTATACCTCCAGAACTGTTTTGTCGAAAAAAGGATATTTTTTTTAAATAATGGAATTTCGTGAATAAGGCGCTTGTAACACTAAACCCACACGACTTATAATCATTGATGGTAGGGTATCGTACTCCCCCTTCTTAAAATGAGTTATCGGTCAGGGAAAAAATCTTGTACATCGCGTACCGCACAGAAAAATCAAAGCTGAGGAGACGAGAATTAGTTGATTGCCTCACCCTACTTATACCCCTTCCGTCGAAACGAGTCTAACTGACAAAATCAGCGAGATCCTTAAATCAGTATGACCAGATACAATCTATCCAATTATGAAAAATCCCAATACAATTTGTCTAAGACCCGTTTTAATTAGTTGTACGAAACTTCGCAGTTATCATGGTCACGAAAAAATACTTAATCGCAATACAACGCAGGATTAGTGATCAGTCAGGGTAATAATCAGAGAGAGGAGAAGACAACTCACGTACTTAGCAAGAATGAAAAGAGTAAGTGGTCTTACCCTGATTACATACCTTCCGTCGAAAAAACCAGCAAGATGATCAGGGATGACTAGGACGATCAAGCTAAACAAATTACGATAAATCTTAATAATATCTCACCTAAGAACCGTTTTTGTTCAATCTAAGAAACTTTCGCAGGTGTCCTGGTCGCGATAAAACTCCAAATTCAAAACAACCAAATAGAACAGTGCTTGTTCAGGGGTAAAAGCAGGGTGATGACAAAATATCGTTCATATCTGGTAAAATAAACGCTAAAAGTCACGACTGACAACAAAACTCACAGAAAACCTTACATTCTTGTGGGACAAAAAAAAAGGATAAGCACTGAAGAGGATTAATAATTAATATGAAGTCAATATTTCAAAATATTTTGTTATTTTTAAACGGTCGTGTAAGATTTTTCGTTGCTATTAAGCATGTTTCAATCGCAGGTGAGAAAATTACGAAAAATATTTACCAAGACAAAAATATTGCAAGGTTGTGAAATGACGTGTGCATTATTGATCACCGGTGATACGGTTCTGGCCCTTTACACTCACATCGAAATAAAAATTCACGGTCCAATTTTTGAATTCGCGAAAATACACGCAATACAATTTAATTTTTTATTTTTTACGGATTTAATAGAACACTTTACAAAGAGCTGAAAAAAGATTTAAAATATTAAACCGAAAATTAAAAACAAAATTTCATAGCTTTATATTTTTAATTTGGTTATATAGGAAATAGAATTTAAAATATTCACAATCAAGTTATATCTCGTTAAATATAATCCTTTGCTCGATTAAGAGGGGCGATTCATTTACAGTGAACTTTTAAGCCGATCCGTTAAAGAATAATTTTTTTTTTAATTCAAATGGGATAAGATTAAGGTTAAATTTTTTTATCGTCGGTTTAATGGTCAATTTTATGGTTTGGAAATTGTTTTATGCTAATTCTTTAAGCATATTGAAATGTTTTATAATTATGTATAAATTTAAGACTGAATCACGTATTATTTATTTGAGGACTAATTCGGAAAATGTACGGACTCTGGGGGGTTAAATTATTTAAAATTGTAAATGAGATTTTAGAACTTAAATTAACTTAAATATATCTTGCAACTGGGTTTGGATAGAACTTTTTCCTTACTAAGAAAAGCAATTTTAAGCCAATTCAAAGTTGACATCGCTCTTTTATAAGAACAGCTCGTAACTTTACAAAAAGCCAATTTGACTGTAATTCGAATAAAGAAACGATCGCAGAAAATTCACGTCTGTTCCAACGGGAATATTTCCTTTTCATATAAAATGCTTGATTGACGACCCATTATTGATCGTTTCAAAATCGTACGGACATGTTCCTAATGTTTTCGACATTCTCATAAACTATTGACCTCAGCGTGTATCGACTTACTTATTCCCAAAATTAGGGCCTGGTTCGGAGCAATTCCTTAGTTCATTGATCCGAAAGGACTTACGAAGGAAGGCAGCAGGCTGAGCCACTCGCTCCTCTTGTAATCGATGGCGTGAAAAGGACCGAGGAACACAATTCCCGTTTCCGGTACCGTCAATAAAACCGCCTTATAGGCTTTTTATTTATTTTTTATCCAGACAGACATTTAGTCGTTTTAGCCATCACTCAAAGCAAAACCAAAAGGTCAAGTCTTTTTTTAAATAAACGTTCAAATACGAACGGGCTGTTCAGTAGGAAACCAAATTTAATCGGGCGTTTTACAACAAATGCAGCATGCGTTTATGATTTAAACTCACGAAATATATTGTCACGAATGACAGATGCGTGTTGCACGATGTTGACACTGAAATCATTACAAAAAACAAAACAAAAAAACAGTACGATTCAGATACATTTTTGTACAATGATTATTAAGTTTACTAATCAATAAAATATCAAAATTTTAATATTGACCGTTTTGCATTAGCAACATTATCATAGATAAAATGTCGTTCATAAAAAAACTAGACACTTTTATTAAACCTATTCTCCCAACTTCTTATTTATTGCCCTAGGTAAGTGTTTAAAAAAAAAAAAAAAAAAGAAAAAGACTTTTATTAACTCTATTGTCCCAGCTTATTGTACGACATGAATCATTCCATTCCCCCCTCATATTTAATAATCATAAATATATTATTAATTTCATACGCAAAAATATATTTACATATATAACATAAATTATAAATACCTGTGCACTTCCTCTCCATTTTCATAAAATTCTGCTGCGGATCTGAACGAATAACAAGATGCAAGAGTGGCTATTGAAGAGGTGGGGGACGGGATGCAGACGAGTGTGTCACTGTCAGACCCTCCTGCAGTAACAAGTGTCTCACTTTCGGAACCTACAAAACATTTTTGTCTAAACTGCCTTGTACCTCTGGAAACCGGTTTCATACTGGGACATTTTGAAAGCCAAAAAAAAATTTTTTTTACTAGGTTTGTTAACATTTGATCATTGAGACGGTGAATTTAGATAGATTTTGCAGTTTTAAATTGATGAAAAGTGACATTTGATAAAAGGCTGTATAAATATGAAAATTTTAATTACACTTATTTCACATAATGATGAGCAGACCATATTTTTTAATGAACCATAATAATTAGACAAAATTAAAAATTTGTTCAGTTAAAAAAAAAATTGATATCCAGTGATACTGGCAACTATTATCAGAAAAGCAAATAATTACAACCTACCTTCTTTCTTTTTAAATTCTTCGCGAGTAAAAACCATTTTTGTACTTAATTTGAAAGCTCTTGAAAATAACAATTATTCAAAAACAAGTGTACATCTTAAACAACTCATAAATATATGTATTCTTCTTAATTAAAACTAATTTATTTTTATATCAATTATTAGCAATACAAAAAATAAATAAAACCTAATAATGATTTGTTGAAGCCATGAGGAGTGATCAAGAATGAGGTAGTTTAGGAACATAGGAAAACACCTTTTTCATTTTTTTTTCTGACATACTATACCACAAGAATAGCACCACACTTTATGTGAGAATGAAATACTTGGTTCAAAATTTATTTTTACATCTTAAACTGTATTTTTCCCCCTCAACGTATGTTTTGTAATTTATCCAGGCCCTGAAGATGACCCGAATAAAGGCTGAAACGTGAGCACAAAAAAGAAATTTTTCTGAACTACCTCATTTTTGACTGCTCCTCATTACTTCAACAAATTATGAAACAACAGGACACTAAGAAACACACACTAATAATGATTCTTTAAGTTACCTGCTAAATCCTAAAATATTTTAAATCAAATTAAAATTTAAGCTATTTCTCTAAATGATTCAAAATGTTTTGTAAGTTTTTCTCATTATATATACAGTAAAATCTCAATACTTCGTATGATATATCAAGATCATATTAAGAAAGTGCTGGTCCCTTGAAAAAATCATGTTACATGCCAATGCATTTCAGTCGCCTCCGTGTAACTATTTTTTTCTGCCTTCAAGGTCAACAAAATATCTTATCCAGTGTATTTTAGCATTGAAATCCTGATTAAACATATGAATAGAGTGGTAGAGGTTATCATGTTACTCATTTCAGGTGTGGCTAAGAAGAAAATATATTAAAAAAAAAGGAAAAATACTTTGCAGAAAGTCTAAAATCGGATGCTATTTTAAGTTCTATGCTATTGTAACCAGTGGCAGGTCGTATCAGAATTTTGTTTGTTACACCCAACGCCACAGATTCAAGATGTTGCATTGCTTACTGCAATGAATATTGCCGCAAAGCATTTAAAAAAGTAACAGCAACCATAATAAAAACTTGCTTCAGAACTTGTGGATTCCTAAAAGAGGATATATCAGCCATGGAAAGGAAAAATTGGATGACATTTCTTGTCACAAAATGATGAAAATCCCATCAATTTTCAGGGCTTTGATTATTTTGACGATGATTGCATTTACTGGAATGCTTAACGATGATAAAATTTTAATAGATGACATGGATGGTGAAGAACCAGAAAGAGTTCTGAGTATTAGTCCTAAAAAGGCCAAGAAATTGATCAATTGCATACACTAGCATACATTTTTTTAGCGGAATCAAATGTAGAAAACATTTTCAGGGCAATTCACACTACTGAATTAGCAATATGTATATGTGCATTTTTAATTTTTACCCTTGATGGAATGCTTGCAGTATTAATAAATAATAATATGTATTATTAAACACAATCTCAATATAGTGAACATGACGATATATTGTACTTATCCTTCATCCCCTTGAAGATATAATATATTGGGATTTATCTGTACTACATATTGGAAAAAAAAATTTAATCATTTTCTTCATATCAGGGATACTTAGAATTATCATTTGTTTAAAATGTTTAACAATTACATTAAAATAAATAAAATATATGATAGTTACAGATATATATAAAAAAATAATATCATGCTAAACAGTGAAAACTAGAAGCAAAATAAAAACAACAAGCCTTCAATAAATTAAATACTCACTTCAAGAGGGACTAAGAAGAAAATATATATTAAAAAAAAAACCTTGCAGAAAATAGGATGCTATTTTAAATGCAATGCTACACCAAAATTTAATTATGTGTTAACAAAAGAAAAGGGGTAAAAAAAAAGGCAAAAGATTTATTCGTTATGAAGGGAGACCAGAGTAAAGAAAAGGGGTAGATGAATTTGTAAATGGGTACAAACCAAGCAGAATTACTGACTTTTTAATTTAACATATATATCAATTATTCCTCTCACAGCTAATAATTACGTTTCTATTTACACATTTATTTATTTATTTCTAAGAATTACCTCCAGCCTCGAAAGCATCATAAAATTCGTCATCTGACGTATCGTAAAAACGGGGATTCCTTTTACAAACTGAAAAAATAATTTTTGAAAAGAACAAAAATAACTTAATTTTTTAAATATAAAAAGCACTATGTGATTAAAGTTCTAAAAAGGATGCACACTCACTACTGGCTGAGCTATTTTTACGTGATAGCGGGGGACTTTGTGATAGATGTGAAACCATTGACTGTTCAAGCTCGTGATGCTCTTTTGCTAAGACATTAAGCGCTTCTTCAAGCACCCTGCACTTTTCTTGTTCCCGTTTTAACTGAAGCACTCTTATCTAAAAATCAAACAAATCAATTAAGGCCTTTTTTAAATTTTTTTTTTATCTTACTTCTTCTTGCTGCTTTATCAAATTAAGGCAGTGGTCCAACGAAGAAAGCATACTTGAAGCGGTTTCTGTTAACTCTTCAAACTTCTAAATAAATTTAAATACAAATTATTAATATTTCTATAATGCTAAAGTTAACTTTTAAAACACACTTTCATGCTTTGAATTACTAATCGCTCCTCTGATGTTACTGGATTAGCTTCAAAAAAATTGCTAATGTCTTGAAGCCTAGATTCCAAAATTTGATAACTAGCTGATGCAGTATTGAGTGAATCCTATAATCATAAAAAAATAAACTGCATCAAATTACATAATTGTTTTAAAATTTAAAGTACTTGCCTGCATTGATCCAAGAGGTTTAATGTCGTCTTCGTCATCACTGTCATCCAGCATTCTTCCTTGATTCATATAGTGTGAATTAAAAGCTATGTGGTCAGACAGTGCTGCCAGCCATTTCTAAACAAAAACAAACAAAAAAGTCTATAAAACTAATAATTTTCATAATTAATGATAAGTATTTTTTTAGCATTTTTTTAAATCATAAATTGAATAGAAGTTTTAGGTTGAATAAAAAAAAATTTAATCAAAATGTATAACTTTTTGTTCCATTACTTGCTGCTTTTATCAATGTAACTTTGTAATTCCTCCTGCCAGAATTTTTCAATGACAAACTTTTTAATGTGTTTTCTCCAGCCCTGAGGTGAAGAAGAGTTTTCCCATTAACAGAGTTCTGCGTAGCCCAAAAAAAAGTAAAAATATAAAGGGGCACTGCCAGGTGAATAAGGTGGGTGGGGTGGCATGTCCCAGCCAAGCTACAAGTATTTTTGGCGTGTCTGCAGACATGTGCGGCAAGTGGAAAACAATCCCCTTGCAATTAGCCATTTCCAGTCGATTTTAGTCAATTGCTGACTTTAATCATTCCAAGTGTGCACAGTATATGCAAGAATTAACCCTTTGGTTGGGCAGAAGAAGCTAATAAAACACCCCCTTCCAATCCTACCAAATGCACAACATTACCTTCCTATTTCCCTAGGATTTTTCTTTTATGGACATGATTCTAAAGGACCCTCTTTTCATACACAGTATCAATCCTATAAAAATTGATCATTTGCATTGCACTCCAATAAATTCTTCTATCAACATGTGAGAAACCCATATATCGTTTCGACAAACATATCCAACTGCTCTCGGATACAATGGAATGCTAGTATTAGATATATTAAGTGTCTGCAATGTTTCATGTTGTTGAATGTGTCTTATTTATAACAAAAGCTTGAATTTTTTCATCAACAATTGAAGAACGATCAGAGAGCTTTGCTTCTTTCAAATCAAAACTTCCGCTTCTGAACTTTGTAAACCACTTACAGGTGGGGTAGGGCTTTCTCCCAAAGCATCATCATTAGAACCTGGATTTGTATGCAATATTATTTTTTCTAACACTTACGGCCATGGTGATCAGATACGTATTTGAATCATACCTCCGTGGTATAATGGTGACAATTTTATATTTGAATAATATTGCATAGATTTGCAAATTTTGAAGAAAAATGTAAATTTTAAAAGTTTTTGATTAAAAAAAAAAAAAAAAAAAAAAAAAGGCAACTAGGAAGATGAGAGGAACAACAATAACAATCATTAACTTCCCATGAACAAAGCATAAACAAACCGACACAATAGAATTATCTTAAAATAATCAGCATCTTATTTGAGGTCCTCATTTACAAAACTTCTGGGCTATTTTGTTGCCTTTCCTGAAATATTTATTTTCCTGAAGTAGTAGGGACATCATTTGAAACACAAAAATAGTCCTCTTTCATAATTTCAACCTAGTAAACCTAAAAAATGCCAAAATTGGGAACTTCAACTTACTTTAAAATAGAATGCTGGATTTTTCTTTTCAATGTAAAACGGAAATTAATTAAATCCCCAAAGAGATAGGAATTAGATTACAAAAAAATTTTTTTTTAAAATTGCTTGAATTGGGGTAAACAAATGAAATAACAAAATTGTTATACCTTTAGAAAAGATATTTTTCAAGGATTCAATTGAAAAGTATTAAGGGAAATATATTTTTTGATAAACATTGTAGTTTTACATAAACTAACTTACAAATGTATATCATAGTCTATTTCAATTCAATTCATGGACTTAATTAAGCTTAATTATTTGTATTGTATATTTTAAATTTTANATATTTTTTTTTTTGTGTGTGTGTAACTGATATTTTTCTGTTCTATTTCTTTTCAAAATATGCACTAGACCAAAAAACAGTTTACATTAGAAAGAAATTATTCAATTATTATTTGGGTGAGGTTTCTTATATCCTGCGTATTTCAATATTTTTAGAGCAAATTATGTGGCATATTTCAATTTTTTTTAGTGCATACAATATTGCATATTTTAGGGTTTTTTAGCACATATTATATGGCATATTTGAGGATTTTGATTGCATACATATCTCTGGTGCCATAGTCATTACTATCATGTTGCAAATTTTCCATAAAGTCTGAGCTGCAGTTATCCCTCTGCTGTAGGGTAATAAAAAATCGTTAAAAGACGAAAATATGCTATTTTCCCTCCATTTTAAACAAGGAAAACACCTTGTAAAAGGGCATGAATGAAGCTGACAAATTCAAACATCATAACTAACCCCTTCAGAGTTTGTAAACGATAATGACTAAATAAACATTGATTCAAATCAAAAGATGGGTAACATTGAATTAAAATATGCTACAAACTTTTTTTTTAGATGTCTTAACATGAACCTGCAGATTAATCATCACCCCAACCCAAGAAGAAGGTTGATCAGAGATTATCAAGCTAGATAGATAATTTAAGTTATAATTTATTGTCTAATGAAATTTAGCAAACAAAATTTTAAATGTCAGAGTTCCGGAAACTTGATAAACTTTTTAAATAGTAAATTAATTTATTAACAGGGCAATTTATCAAAGGGGTGATATTTTGGCTAAATATGATTACCTGACGAGTAAGTTCTCCAGTTGGATCATCAGCGCTTAGCAGCACACTAAGTTTATGAGATGTTCCGTCAGAAAAGTCTATACAGAATGCTGACGGAGCTAAATCTGATGCAACGGCCAAACCTCCATCTAAATATTTGAAATCCCTTCTTTTCACTCCTGAACTAGCATCTGCTCTTGAATTGAAATAGGTCAGAACTCCTCTTTCTAGAACAGTCTAATAATAAATAGAAAATAAATAAATAAAAAATGTAAGGGGTAGAAAGATAATTAAAGTTACTAATGGAAATAATTACCCATGTTGGCTTCCAGCCTAGAAACCTAGAGCGTTTTAACAGTTGTCCTTCAAATCTTGTCACAGTCATTTGTAGCAAGCGAACAGGGCGAACGCATAATACTTGGCTCATCTGAGCATCCCTGGCTAAATCAAAAGCGGTCTGACCTAAACCGCAGAATATCAGCTTTGGGGTAATTTTACACTGATAAAAACACGACATCACCTATTAGATTTTTAATTGTTGAATCAATCCCATTCTGAAGGAGGAGTACAGCAGCTTCTTTCTGGCCGCGATACGAGGCACAGTGTAGTGAAGTGTTGCCTAGGCTATCGACGCAGTTTATATACGGAGGCCTTTCAGATTTAAGCTTGATAAATAGTTCAAATTACTAGACAATTTGTAACAAATCCTAGGTTTACAAATTTTACCAATTCCCGAATTTCTTGAAGATCACCATTTCTGGCTGCTGACAAAAGGGCTTCTTCTTTTCTGATCAAATCAGTCCTTTCAGCAGCGGCAAGAAGCTTCCTTGTCTCACCTTCCTCAACTCCAACTTCCTTTGCAGTCTTTCCTTCTCCGTTTCTAATGTTCACATCAGCATTTCTTTCAAGCAGAAGAAGAACTAAATCCTGGAAAAAAATCGAAATCCTTGAGTGATTAAACTTTTTTTCTGTGAGGTTTGCAACAGTAGAGTTCATATCAACACCCAGGTTGCTAATCTTTTTTGGAGGAAAAAAAAAGCCTATTTGTAAGTATGTCGGGTTGGATTTCAGGGCTGAATTGGAACTTGGGAACTTTACAGTGACGAGTACTGTGTCAATGCCTTAACCTTTGCGGCCATCATCCAACTGCCCCCTATTTTTCATTTTTAGGATAAAATTTCATAAAAATTATTTTTGCTATCAATCATTAAAACACGAATCTGTCATTTTTCTGTGATGATACACATTTTATTATTTTCAGCTGCTACTGTTCCAATCACAGCACTTTGTGGTTTGTATGAGAAAACGAATTCTTCTTCCAATGTCTTATGTACTACCTATGTGTAAATTGGCAACTATTGCAGAATCACTTTTATCATAAAGTGACTTTTATTATATTTTTTTGGTTTCAAGAAAATAGAAATATCTATTTATCAGTTTTAATGCTAAAGTTGATAGTTCTATGTAAATACCCAACAACTTACAGCCTACAATTACTAAAAAAAAAATTTAAAAATGAATCTCTTGCATAAATAATATAATCAAATTATATATTATTCAATGTAATAGGGGTAAAGATACTGGTAATTTTCAGATTGTCGTTATTTCAGTGTCACATTCTAAACAATCAACATTGATATTTTACAAATTAGCTGGTGAATATTTGTGAAATGTTAAGAACTGTGAAGTAGCATTATCATCCTGATCTGACTAGTTTTGCTGGTAGGTTTCTGAATTTGTTGTTTTCCCCAGTGGTTGCGGGTTTGTCAGAGATATAAGCAGGGTGATTACAAGGCAACTAACTCTATTTATATCATTTGCATTGAATGTTGCAATTCTCATAAACAGAATGAGTCAGAGCATTACCTCATCATGCTGATTTCCTTAACAAACTCTGTAGAACATGAAATTTTAAAACACACCTGACACACAAAATCTGTGAGGCTAACCAGACCAGGAGTTTAAATAATTTGCCTTACAAAATATTTTTAAAAATAGTGCATAATTTTATAAGAATTATTATTAATAATGTGCTTCACATCGTACCATGAAATTATATGCACGTATATAAAAGCAATAACTAGGAAAGGGAATGGTTTAATGAACATAAATTACAATTAATAATATTTTATTTAAAAAATATTTTTTGAACTTTAAAAAAAGCACAATTATTGAAGAGTAGAATAGTAGAACAGAAAACTACTAGAATTCTTTCATGTAAACGCACAAGTGGAACAACTTTAGCATTTTTAATTTTGGGCACATGTAACAAGATAATAAGAGATACATAAAAATCACAGGTACATCCTGAGAAATTGAAATTAAGCGCTGCTTGCAAATTAAAACTAAAAGTGAACAAAAGTCCATTTCACTGCAATAATTAAATCTGGAACAATAAAACATCAATGTACTCAATAATCAAACTTGTTCTCTAATAAAAGTACTATTTTCTTAACAATACATCTACAATATGAACTACTAGTAGTTTTGTGTTCTAATATTCTCCCATTAAGGTAATTATCCAGGAATTATGTGTGTACCTCTCGGCCGATGAAAGACGCTTTGTGAAGGGCAGTGTCTCCGGCATCGTTCACAGCGTTTATATCAGTCCCGTGGTCAAGGAGCAGCTCGACTACATCTTTATGGCCGAAGTACGAGGCTAGGTGAAGTGGAGTCCAACCTAAATTACTTTTACTCCGACCTTTAAAATAAAATTGGATAATTATACTAAACAAAAAGATTATATGATTATATTTTATAAAAACTTCATGTTTGATTTTTACAATGCTGAAATTTCACCTTACAATCTTTTATATACATTTATTCATGGTGATAGCTTGTCTCGGATTAAAATAGAAAAAGGAATGCTATAAATGGCCCTGAAATTCATGTTTATTTAAACAAAATAATTTTTTTCCTCGTGCAGTAAGGTATATAAGTAATAAATCATTTGGAAACAGACAATAAGAGTCAGAGAATTCTTGAAATGTATTTAATCTTTCAAAAATACCAACCACCCTTCTCAAAACAAGTGTTCAGTAATACTAATAAGTAGATAAGCAGTTGGCAGGTATTGTGTGCATACAGATAGCTTCAAAATCTCTCATAAATAATTGTCCAAAGCAAAGATAACTTTGACCCATATGGTTATCAAATGTGGTAAAGAAATATCCAGTGAGAATAAGTGACCAGAATGATCAAAGACAGTCGGTTTTGTTTTAAAATAATTATTCGTAAAAGATATGCATTCATAGAACCCAACCTCCATCAGATTTTTCAACATGGAAAACTCGAGACACAAGACAAAAATGAATTTATTTACTGTACATTGAATACATTATTCTGAGAAAAAAAATTAAATGGTAATGTACAACAAAATAATGTAAAATGAACATCCTGCTACCAGTAAGTTTAACTTTTGCTTGAGAGCAGGAGTTATGAGCTTACAAATAGTTTTATACATTACAAAAATAAACAAAAAACAAATTTATAAAAATTAGTGGTAGTAGTATACATTCAATTTATTAAACAATTGGCATTTTATGTAATTTTGTAAATAATTATTCAATTAGTATATTACTTTTAAAAATTTCCCTTCTTTAATTATATATGTTTAAAAAAAATTAAATTGATTAAAAGAGAGAAGGAATTTATATCAATTTTGTTTTGATATAAGATTCTCAATACTACATTATACGCATAGTTACAATACATGCAAGTGTTTACTTTAGGAAGAATAATGTATGTAAATGTATATTTGTGGGTTTTTTAATGCATATTTGTGTGTTTTAGTGCATATTATATGGCATATTTAAGGGTTTTTTAGTGCACATAATATTACATAACTCAGGGATTTTTAGTGCATATAATATTGCATATCTGATGAGATTTTAGTGCATATTATATGGCATATTTAAGAGATTTTATAGTCCATATAATTTGCTTATTAAGTTTTTTTAGTGGATACAATATCCATATTTGAAGGTATTTAGGTTATTTAAAGGTTTATTTAATCTAAGGTAGCATATAATTTTGCATTTTCAAGGGTATTTAGTGCATACAATATTACATATTTAATGAGTTTTTACTCCATATTATATGGCATATTTAAGAGATTTTTTAGTGTATACAATATTGCAAATTTGAGGGTATTTAGTGCATATTAAATGGCATATTTGAGGTTTTTAGTGCATATGATTTGCATATCAAAGGTTTTTTTAAAAATCTAAGGTTGCATATCATATTGCAAATTCGAGGGTATTTAGTGCATATAATATTGCATTATTTGGGTTTTTTGTGTGCATATAATATTGCATATTTCAGGGGGGGTTTTAGTGCATATAATATTGCATATCTAAGGTTTTATTTTGTTAATGTAATGTAGCATATTTGGGGTTTTTAGTGGATATTATATAGCATATTTATGTGTTTTTCAGTGCATATAATATTACATATCTGAGGTTTTTTTAGTGCATATAATATTGCATATTTCAGGGGGGTTTTTTAGTGCATATAATGTTGCATATCTAAGGTTTCATTTTGTTAATGTAATATTGCATATTTGGGTTTTTTAGTGGATATTATATAGATATTTAAGGGTTTTGTTAGTGCATATAATATTGCATATCTGGTGTTTTTAGTGCATATAATATTGCATATTTCAGGGGGGGTTTTAGTGCATATAATGTTGCATATCTAAGGTTTTATTTTGTTAATGTAATAGCATATTTGGGGTTTTTAGTGGATATTATATAGCATATTTAATGACATTTAGTACACATAATATTGCATATCTGAGGTGTTTTTAGTGCATATAATAATGCATATTTTAGGGGGGGGGTTAGTGCATATAATGTTGCATATCTAAGGTTTTATTTTGTTAATGTAATATTGCATATTTGAGTTTTTTAGTGGATATTATATAGATATTTAAGGTTTTTTAGTGCATATAATATTACATAACTGAGGTTTTTTTTAGTGCATATAATATTGCATATTTCAGGGGGGAATTAGTGCATATAATATTGCATATCTAAGGTTTCATTTTGTTAATGTAATATTGCATATTTGGGTTTTTTAGTGGATATTATATAGATATTTAAGGGTTTTGTTAGTGCATATAATATTGCATATCTGGTGTTTTTAGTGCATATAATATTGCATATTTCAGGGGGGGTTTTAGTGCATATAATGTTGCATATCTAAGGTTTTATTTTGTTAATGTAATATTGCATATTTGAGTTTTTTAGTGGATATTATATAGATATTTAAGGGTATTGTTAGTGCATATAATATTGCATATCTAAGGTTTTATTTTGTTAATGTAATGTAGCATATTTGGGGTTTTTAGTGCATATAATATTGCATATCTGAGGTGTTTTTAGTGCATATAATATTGCATATTTCAGGGTTTTTTTTAGTGCATATAATGTTGCATATCTGAGGTGTTTTTAGTGCATATTGCATATTTCAGGGTTTTTTTTTAGTGCATATAATGTTGCATATCTAAGGTTTTATTTTGTTAATGTAATGTAGCATATTTGGGGTTTTTAGTGGATATTAGCATAGCATATTTAATGACATTTAGTACACATAATATTGCATATCTGAGGTTTTTTAGTGCATATAATATTACATTTGGGATTTTTTAGTGCACATAAATTTTGGCTGTAGCTATCATTGTCATTGTTCTTAGCCAACAATGTTTTCTCTACTTTAATTAACCAATTTAATATTAAATAATTAACCCATATGACTACAAATGAGGTAAATTGATTATTTATGAAAGCAAATGGCATGTTATTCTTTTAGGAATAAAAAAAGAAATTTTTACAAGCTACACTCAAGTGCAAAAGGAAACTAATGACACGTTTTCCATACTTAATATTAAAATCACAGCAGAAAAAATTGCATATTACGTCATAAACAACTAGGATGAAGCAGAAGTGACAAGTTTCAAAGCAAAATACCTTTGCAGTTGATGTCCAATGCGATTTTCCCATTTAACTTTGATGTCAGTAGTTGCTGGACTTTCTCAAAATCACCATTCCTGGAGGTGTGGAGGAGCATTTCACACAGTTCCAGTTCATTCAAGTTCTCGACCATTGTCACTGGTCATGTAAATATGTTAAAAATGTCTATAAAAACGATAAATAATGCGATAAGAAATTGTCTGACTCATGGCACCGAGAGCCTGTGAAGGGGGTGAGAAGATTTAAGTTTGACCTCAGCGACGACGGCCAAGGGAATTTCAGCAAAAATTAAAAGAAAACTCCTTTTGAAAGGAAACAGTTTACCATTTGAAAGGTTCGTCCTTATCTGGGTTCGTGTAACAAATAATAATAGCCGAACAGGGCGCAGCCTGGTTTCCCACTTGGGCTCCTTAAATTCAACACATCCTTATTTCCTGCAACCAATGTTGTACATCTATGGGAATTTACTTCACACCACTTTTCTCATATTATTATTTATATTGAAAATTATATTTATTTATATTATTTTAAATAATTTCCTTATTGATTTAATCCTTATCCTGACCACCACCAACCAATCTGACCTCCAGTTCTTTAAAACAACTTACATTTTTTATGTTTAAATAATGATTTAAATCATAATACTTCAAACGTATCCATATTCGTTTCTGATTATGTATCGTTTCCAAAATAATTTCTTTAAAAATTCTTTATTCAGTGGGTCCTGATGCCATAACTGCAATATTGTGCATATGGGTCAAGGATGTGGTCAAACAGCCTTAGCTAATTTAATTGCAGCACATTTTCACCCTATTTGTAAAACAAAATTCTAAAATTTAGTGCATATAACATGGCATTTTTAAGGATTTGTTTAACGTATATAATTTGCATATACATATATCTAAGGGTTTTGTATTTCATATAATATTGCATGTTTGGGGAGTTTAGTGCATATAATATTGCCTATCAGAGGTGTTTAGGGCATATAATATTGCATACGCCCTAAAAATACCTCTGATATGCAATATTATATGCACTAAACCCCCTCAAATTTGCAATATTATATGAACTAAAAAACCCACTTAGATATGCAAATTATATACGTTAAACAAACCCTTAAAAATGCCATATTAATGCACCAAATTTTAAATTTTGGTTTTACTGTCACTAGTTTTGTTTGTCATTTATCAATTTATGGTTGGAGCTTTTCCTACCCTCAAGATTAGGGGGCTTTAGTGGATATTATACACCATATTTAAGGTTATTTTAGTGCATATCATATTACATATTTGTGGTGTTTTTAGTGCATATAATATTGCACATCTAAGGTTTTATTTTGTTAATGTAATATAGCATATTGGGGGGGGGGGTTATTGGATATTATACACCATAATTAAGGTTTTTTTGGTACTTATAATATTGCATATCTGAGGTGTTTTTAGTGCATACAATATTGCATATCTAAGGTTTTATTTTGTTCATGTAATATAGCATATTGAGGGTTGGGGGTTGGTGGATATTATACACCATATTTAAGGTTATTTTAGTGCATATCAATTGTATATCTGAGGTTTTACCTTGTTCATATAATATTACATGTCTGAAGTGTTTTTAGTGCATATAATATTGCATATGTGAAGGGTTTTTAGTGCATATGATATTGCATATCTAAGGTATTATTTTGTTAATGTAATGTAGCATATTTGGTGGGGGGGGGGTTAGAGGATAATATATAGCATATTTATGTGTTTTTTAGTACATATAATATTACATATCTGAGGTATTTTTAGTGCATATATTATTGAATATATGAGGTGTTTTTAGTGCATATAATATTGCATATCTAAGGTTTTATTTTGTTAATGTAATATAGCATATTTGGGGTNAAATGAGTAATCCTGTAAACGTAAACAGAATATTTTATATAGATTTTTTTTAATGAAAACTTAAAATCCTGCATTATTTTCCGGACAACCCAATAGCATATTTATGTGTTTTTTAGTGCATATAATATTAAATATCTGAGGTTTTTTAGTGCATATATTATTTCATATTTCAAGGGTTTTTTAGTGCATATAGTACTGCATATCTGAGGTGCTTTTAATGCATATAATATTGCATATCTTAGGTTCTATTTTGTTTCTGTAGTATTGCATATTTGGGTTTTTTTATTGGATATCATATAGCCATATTAATTCTAGTCCTTGGTTCATTACAGAAAATTCCAACTGGATCCATGTGTATACCTGATATGGTTTTATATCTTTTACCTTGACTAAGCCAGGAACGGCTGTGAAAGTTGGAGGGTGTGGAGCCCAGGTCCTTGCTGATGAGGTTGTGCATGCAACCTATGAAGGTGAATCGCTGGACTTGTAGATGAGGCTGTGTACAAGACCTTGTCTTGTGAGCTTTTCTTCAAGCAGCTGTTTATGAAGCTGTGGATGAGAATGTAGACCCCTGGCACTAACTGGCTCATACTCGGATATGGTGTGACATTTATACATGTTTAATTAAAACATTTAGAGATTTGTGAAATTTCTTTTGCGTCTTGAAGTGCACAAAGATAATTTTAAATGGACAAATAGATTTATAACTAGACAAAATCTTTTAACTTTTAATTTTATTATTATTATACAAATAATGTAAATTATACTTTTAAAGAAATACTCAGGATTTTGAACAATGTTTTATTAAATTTTAAGGCTTCACTTTAAATAAATCTTACTTTAGTCTATAATCTTTGCATTCCTTACCACAGATAATGGATTAATTCACAAGTGATTATTTTCTTTAAAATTGCTGTAATCACATTTGTCAGTTTTCATTTTGATGTATTAGTGAAACAGATTGCAGATTTGAACTGTTTCTTATACAAAATATACAGTATTAGATTTCAGAAAACAAGTATATGTAGTTTTTTAGCATTAAGAAGTTGATGCCTTGATGGGTAGGAAATAAACTGTATTTTCCACAATAGGCAATTATTTCGTCAGATAAGTTTCGGTCTAATATGACCATCTTCAGTGACATTTTTTAAAATATAATAGTACTACTAAATACTTGCTTTTAAAATAAAAAGTCACTGATGATGGTCCATATTAGATCGAAACATGTCTGACAAAAAAACACCTATTGTGTTAAATACAATTTATTTCCTATCCATCGTCTTATTATGGAGTTCCACAAAATTAGGGTGGACACTATCAAAAAATCTTTTATCATTCTTGTCTTGCAGAGAACTTCTGCCATTTAAATGACACAATAAATTCAATTTTTTCTATCTAACTTCAAATATCTTTGAAGACATTAATGCCATTTGAAAGCAGTTCAATTGTGGATTTATTACTCCTCATAATGTGATATTCTCATTTGCATAGTTTTATAAAAGAACTTTTAAAAATTTCAACTTTTTAAATGATTAGATTGATAAACTGAAAAGCAGGTTGGGTAAGTACACATGCATATATATTCAAAAAATTAAACATTTTTATTAATTGAATAATACAAATTCAGTCATACAATAAATACTAAATCTATTGTCTTTTCATGCAGGAAGGTGGAAATTTGTCATCTCAATCGCAGTATAAATTAAACAAAATGTTTTCACAATATGGTCTTTTTTAATATCTTAATGTAATATAATTTATATCTAATTGAAATACCTTAAATTTTAAAATGAAACAAATTGTTGTATTGCAACATCAACATATTTCCTCTTTTGCTTGAAAAATAAGTCAAAAAACAAAAGAACTTAAGTCAGCCTTTATTATGACTTTTATGATTTCACAGAAGACGTGAATTGAATTTATTTTATTTAAACATTCTTAATAATAATACTACTATATTATTTTATTGTTTACTTAAAAAAAATATTTCAGATGGACTTCATTAATCTATAAAAACATAGATGTATAAACTTGGGTTTTATGTTAACCATTTAAAAATTTAGAAATTAAAACATAAAATTATGTAAGTAAATTTTACTATTTAGGTACATCAAAAAATGCATGGTTTAATTTACATTACAATATTTACACGATGTAATAACTATAAATAAAAAATATGTAGTTAATTGAAATGTACATTTCAAAAAGGTGTTTTACCCTAGTCAACTTGTAGAAAGATTCCAATTTGAGATTTTGGAAGTTATATTTTTTACATGTTATCTTTAAGGAAATATAAATGTGATCCCAAGTTGCTAAAAGCTATGTTGAGATTCTCAATATATACTTGCTAGAATTTCATAAACAATTTTTCCTTGTTTGAGAAATCAATATTTATTGTGCACAAAGTTCAATTTAGATCTAAAATTTTTGGAAGAGATTCATATTTATTCTTAATTAATGCAATTGGAACCAAATAATCGCAGACAACACTGCTGTAAGTGCGATGTTGCCAGTCGTCTTTACAGATGAGTTGCAACCATCTGTTGAGCATGTATATTTGCAAGATCTGTACTTTCTCTGATCACCAATCTGCGATATAGTATCGCAATAGTTGCCTAGATCCACCGAAGAACAGTACCTTCTAGTTCCAAAACCACCTAGAAAATAACATACATAAATATGTGATGGCAAATTTTAAAATTCCCTTTAAAATTGTTCCCCAATCCTTACCGTCATTAATGCCAGTTGCTTTGATACAATATCTTGCCTCGAATACGTGATCACACGACTTCGGTTCAACAGTCAAACCGTCTCTGTCATGGATCAACATATCTGAGCAATCTGTGTTGTTCGGAGCATAGCACTGGTAGCACAATATCGATTTGACTTTCCCCCAAGAAAAGCAGCATGCATAAAAGGTATTAATTGCATTAAAAATTAAACAAAATTGTCCAAATTGAAAATGTTAGTATCCGTATTTCCCAGCCGTTAGTTTGAGCATAAAGCAATATTTTGTGATTTTTGTTTTGTTTAAAAACCTGCCTTCGAATCGACCAGTATGCTTTATACAGTAAGCAGCTCCAAAAACTTCATCGCACGGCTTTGGCTCTATATCAATATCATCTTCTAAGAATTCAGTGCACTGATATGGGTTGATAGTGTCTGTGCTATTGCACTGATAACATAAAATAGAATGAACTGAAAAAAATGTTATGAAAGAATTTATTAAAGTCAGATTTAATTTAACTTAAGAGTAAATAATTATTTTATAAAAGGAATTAGTAAATATCACAACTCTTCCAAAGATACAGCAAAGCTATACCTTGTGTTGTCCTTAAAAAAAATCATTAATTCTTTAAAATCTATTTTGAGATTTTTCTTTAATGAGAAAGCAGAAAGTTTAAGACCACTTAAATGAGAAGTGCCCGGTTCACCCTCAAGAGAATCAAACTTTGCTGAATCATCACCTCATCCCAATTAGCCGATTGAACACAACACGACATGCCGATTGACCAACTTATAATTGAGTGACCTAAAAAATAAACTCTTAAATAAAATCCCATTTCATTTATTGGTTTAATATTTTACGATGTTATAAAATGTAGCGGAGCCAATAATTATTCAAGAAGTCGTAATTGGCACAAATGGTTGTTTCATGCTTCATAATCTTAATTTGCTGACAAACACGTTTCATTCTTTGAAAAACTACTTGTACGTTTTAATGACTAAAAAGAATTTTAGAAAATCTATTTTATTTTCAGCTAGAGTTAAATACAAAAGCTTTAATCAAACGTTGGTTCGTTTGATTATGGATTTGTTTAAAATTAACAGCAAGCAAGTGGAAAACATCAGCAATAAATAATCTGTAAGACGAATTAATATTTAAAACGACTTAGTTACAACTAAGAAAACAATTAAAATACTGTATATAATTCGAAAAATAATTTCAAGTCTATATTATAAAAACAATATTATTCTAACTTCCGATGAAAAAATACAGCGTGTAAAATGATGAAAAGCAGATAAATAAATTGAAACTGTTTCGCTACTAAACTGCTTGTATTTAAGTCGCGACAGAGTCGATAAGCTTTGATAAGCTTACAGAAGGGGTTTATCCTCTTAGGGTACTTATATTTAAGAGGATCGAATTTCCGCTTTCCCTTTAAGCCTTAAGCTCTTTGAATTTTTTTACAAATTTCGAACACAAGAAAGTGTAATAAAAGAATTTCACGATATGTATTTGCCTCCTGGTCCGCATATTTTCGCTTTTTGTCTGTCACAAAGACTTAGGAACATAGGAATCTGCCGTCAGGGATATAAGCAGGGTGAGGCTAAAACACGGACTTCCGTTTATGTGAATTTCGCTTGCGTCAAACGCAATCGATCTTGTCATCTACTATAACTCGGACCAGTGAAGACAGCAAAATGCCGAAACTAACAGGCAAAACCTACGAGAATAGGCAGGAAGTCGGAGACAAGGTTCATGACCTCGCAAACTTCACCATTTACACATTTCATACTGAACCGGTACTGGGTCCGTCTTCATTCCTGGATTTGTTGAACTAATCCAACGCGTTTCGGCATTGCGCCATCTTCAGTAGGAACTTGATAGTTCAATAAACCCGCGAATCAAGACAGACCCAACAAGAGACCCAATGCCGGTTCGACATGATTTCACCGACTCACAGATCAACCCCCAGCGTATACACATTTGTTAAATACATGATGTATTTTATGTATTTCTTGCTAATTAAAAAAAATATTTAAAAAACAATTGTTTACCCTATACACAGTACATATTATAAATGTGATCACGATACGTTTTTCATCTGGTCACAGCAGTAACACTGAGTCCAACGCTGCACCCAAAGGGCACATGCTTGAGAAACAGTCAATGCTGGTTCCCCGAGTGAGGGATTGAGGAGAAAAATCACGAGGCTACGATTATGGCTGGGTCTCGGGATAGGAATGTGGAGCTCAAGCAGTAGGGCAAGAGAGGTTGGAGTGAAACTTCTTTAATGGGAACGAATCTGCTCAATCAGCAGTTGACAACAGCAAAATTGAGATCGTTATGGCTAGTGGGGTTAGCGATGTAATAAGGAGCTTTGACAATTTGTCTGAGGTATTTTGATTGGAAGGATTGGATGCGCTGGATGTTGAATGGCTTGGCAGAACACCACAGTCTCACTCCTTATGTCCAAAGTTTGGGGATGGTTAGGGATGGGGCAATAAAATATTTTTAAGGATAATTCAGTATTGACGTCAATACAGATTTCGGTCCTAGAAGTTTTCGTATTTGTACAAGCATTCTGTTCAGTTCTTGTGTGTAGATTTCACATCAGTCTAGGTATAGTCCTAAGGATTTGACTTGAATTGACATAGGTACCTCTTTGTTGATGTGCAGTGAAGAGCAAGAATGTCCCCCCCCAATGTGAACGAGTATATTTTTTTCATTCAGTCTTGTCCTCCACCTCTTACACCAGTCTTCGATAAGCTCAAGGTGTTCTTGGATGTTGGACGTACCTTATATAGGATTCGAGTTAAAGGACAAAGTTTCGATATCGTCCTCAAGGTGTTCTTGGATGTTTGACGTACCTTGGATAGGATTCGGGTTAAAGGACAAAATTTCGATATCGTCCTCAAGGTGTTTGTTCTTGGATTTGGTCATACCTTGGATAGGATTCGAGTTAAAGGACAAAGTTTCGATATCGTCCTCAAGGTGTTCTTGGATGTTGTACGTACCTTGTATAGGATTCGGGTTAAAGGACAAAGTTTCGATATCGTCCGCGTAGGTCGTGATGATGATATTTGGGTGTATAAGGTAAGTCAGCAGTATAAATGATACAAAGGATGGGACCAAAAATGTCCTGTTTAGAACGCCGGCTTTTACCTATCTGACTTCCTTAAATTCGTTGCCGCACCAGACCATGAAGCAGCGGTCGGTTAAATAGGATTCCAGGATAAGCAATAAGGAGTGGGCAGAAAGCGTTTAAATTTAAGCATGGGAGCCCTTATCAATAGCCTAAACAATAAATAAGTAAAATATAATTTTTACTAGTATTAGTATCCCACTTTTTTGTAATTCAATTTATTATATTTTTTTATGAGGGTTCGCAACAGCAGAGGTCATATCAATACTCAGGGTGTTTTTGAAAATCCCATTGAAATATGTCTGGTTCGAATGCAGGGCCGCTGGATTCGAACCGGGGACCTTTACCTTACAGTCTTGTTCGCAGAGTCAACATCTAAACCGTTGCGGCCACCGACGCCCCCCTACCCAATTATAATTGATCTATTTTCGTTGGTTTTTGACCAGCACCAAATGAAATTAAGTTTTAATTGCATTCTGATTCTGTTTAAAATATCGTTATACATATCTATGTTTATTTCAGTCTGTTTTAATAAATAGTTCCATTAGTGTAAATTTAAACCCCAATGTTAGGCCTTTTTAAACTTTTAAGTAAGTAAACGTATTTAAGTTTTTAAGTAGATCCTGTCAAGTCTTCCAGCTTGGCCAGAAATGTTTTCCTTTTCGAAAATAAAACAGTATCCAGCTGAGTTAATTTTAGCGATATTGCTTAAAAGTAAACATAATTAACGGGGGTCTTAAAGTCCATTGGTAAAGAACGGAGGGTAAAGAACAAATCCGGTTATTAGAAATGATGAAGGTGGGGTGAATATGCAAATCAACTAGTAACTACTACTAGTAAATCAAGAAAACAGAATCTGGTTATTTTCTATCAGTTTTATGCTTAAATAACTTTGGCCTCGACAAAACACCCATTAATGATTAACAATTAACCATTAACTCAAGTGGTCTTCCATAAAAAATTACAGTAAGTATTTTTTCATTTGAATTAATCATTTGGTATTTAATAAATAATTCAAAACCACCTACTTGTATAACAAAAATTACTGATTTTAATAGTTAATATTTTATCGTAAATGAGGCGATATTTTTATGATTGATGGAAAAATTGTTTTATGATTAGTTTTTCATTTTTCATTATTTATAAATTTGTTTTTATAATTCCAACGTATTGGGTGTCTTAGTTACAAAAATTCTCAAGAAATTACTCTCTAAATTTCAAGCAAAATAAACATTATTCGTTTGAAACGGAGAAGAGGTTTTGCACTTGTGAGCCATGTCGTCGGAATATGAAATGCTCATATACATAAGTTCAACACAGCTCGGAACGCGCTCAAACACATTAAGTCTACATCTCACTTGGATAAATTAGCATCCCTCTGTGACTTAAGGTGCTTTTAACTTGCAAAGTCAAAATAAGAACCTTTATGGAAATCACTGTGGTACATATCTGTTTGCCTCCTATTCCAATTTTCTCGCATTGATCGATAAGTCAATTTAACAGAGGCAAGTGTGTATGTTGAATTTTCAAAAATAGGAAAACCTTTCTGAAATGAGTACACAATTTAAAATAAAGCAGTCTGTCATACAAGACTGCTTAAGTTCCGTCTATCCTTTGGGTGTCGCGGACAACCACTTTGCAACACCTTTTATAACTAAAATTTCATGGGGCTCATTCGAACCCAGAACCGAGAGGGGAAAAACGAGCCAGACGTCCTAACCACTCATCCACCGACATTCCACCTAACCTGACCACAAAAATTATTAGCAGTATATTTAATATAGTACATTTATTTGTAATTATCTATTAATCGGGACAGGTAATAGCAGGGATATTTGAATAGCGAAATCCTTCAAATCCAAATCGAAAAATGCGTGGTGGGAATGTCATTTCCTCCAAGGAAATTCAACTGAACGAGGCGAACGTTATCAAATGAAAATCTGAATCGGGCTCTTTTTCATATGCAATCAAACGGAAGAAATTACTTTTCCTTTGGAATTCCAAATCCTTATATGGAAAAAAACGATCTTTATTTTTTATTTCTTTATTATTAATTTTTTGGAACAGGGGAAGACCGGGCAAAGGGTACGCGGACAAAGAAGCCTACGGGTACATACATTAAATGACACTTTGATCCTTGAATTTCCATATAAATTGAGACCCGTC